TTACCAAACGAGTTTCTTTCCTCAGAAACTCATCCTGGGAACAGAAATAGAAAAATCTATTTCTGTTCCAGGAATTGTTTATGGAATAGAATGGTTATCATTCGCGCCTTTAGGGTATTGTGGAGCTATAGAGTTTGATGACAATCGATTCTAGCTTATGATTTGACCGAAATGAATTTTTAAAGTTTCGTGTACGAGCTATACGTAATAGACAAAGATGAATGTTCGCTATAAACGAGTTTCTTCGTTAGCACATAGAAGTCGATTGGTCAACAAATAAGCGTAGTTAAGTCGAGTCGTTTCTTTGAGTAGTGTAACTTGGATTTTGAAATCGTTTTTCGATTAATTGATAAGAATATAAATGCGTCGACTCAAGTAACCTTCGTAAGTTGGTTTTCAGTTTTCCCAGGTAAGTGGTGCTATATTTTTTTTTTTTTGAGTTTGTAAACTCATATTTCGAAAGCAATATAGATTAGATATACTATGAGTTATGAAATAACATTTTTATTGCATAAAATTTGAATCGAACATTTGCTATAATTTTGTTTATTTGAAATGGAAAAATATATATTGATTATAATTTTTTTCAAGCAAAATAATAAGTTTCCATTTATTGAGTGGTTTGGGGAGAATGATTTCCTTCTTGCCAAGAGGGGAAGGGAAAGTCGTTTTCTCTCAATCTAACCGTGTTGTGTTCGGTCCATGAAAAATATTTTTCATTGATCGATTAGTTTTCCGTAATTCAAACCATTAACATTATGCCTCGAGTATAAGCTCGTCGAGTAAACACGGTCCAAAACAAGTCCGACTGATTAAACAAAATTCAAGCGCCTTTTATTATTTTGTTTGAACCTGCAATAAATTCCTTGCATGCGTGTTCGGCCGCGCACATGAGATTCGTTGTTTTTCTCATATGTAGTAGCTGCATAAGAGAGATCTCCTACGACCTTAGACTAGGCGTGCTGGAGACTTGAATTCATTCACGCGTCCAGCCGCAGATGGAGATCTTCACAAGCCTCGACATTAATTAATGGAGCCCACGAGCTTGTCCTTTTGTAGAATTTCTTCATGCCCCCACATGCTGCATTTAGTAAAGAGCCTCTCCTTCTAGCATCATAATATTTATAAAGAAGGGGCTTATGATTGACTATAAATAGAGGAGGTCGTTGGAAGCTCACATCGGAACAAGAAGGAAAACACCAAGAGAAGAGAGCCAAATTAAGAGCAATCATCGTGTCCTCCACGGTGGTCGCTTGGTCTATTTTCATACTTTCTTCTATTTGGAAGGTTCCCTTTGTTCCGCACCTGATAGAGCTTTGAATATTGTGAGATTTGTGCTGTAAGCACTATGGGTATTGGGTGGTGTAATCTAGCGGTGGGAAATACTTAAGTACATGAGTTATTGTAATCGTGTAATTATCTGATTGATTAGTGGATTATTTATGACCGATCGTAAGTACCGACAATCGGACCAAACCACATCAATCTTTCGTGTCCTTTATCGTTCCTCGTTTTATTTTCTCTGATAATTTCATTTTCTCCAATCCCAATTGCAAATATCCGGTCTGTTTTACAACACAAACACCAATAAGTTAAAAAAAAAATTCTTGAAAACAATTTCCCTTTAAACAAATGGATCCTTATTTTCATTTCTTGTTCATGCCGCACCAACTTATTCCAGGTTTTGTTTCTTGTTTTCAAAGAAGTGGTGGGAGGAAAGGGACGCAGCTCTAGCCAATGTTTGGTGGGGTCAGCAGAATAATGAAGGGAAAGTGCAACGGAAGCATTGGGAAAGCTTTACTGAAGCAAAAGTTAGAATGAAGTTTGGGTTTTATAAGTTTATCACGGTTTAACTAGCCCCCCTTGCCATGCTTTGCCTGGAGAATTGAAAGCAACCCATCAGAGTTCTGGGTAAAAAATACTTAAAGGGCTCTACTTTCCCCATTGTAGCTTCATGGAAATTAGAACAAGATATGGCAGAATGTCTTAGGGATGGAGTAGTGTTTTGGACGGGAGAGACTAATTAAGGAAGGTGGGTTATGGCAAACTGCCAAAGGGAAAGCAGTCAAAGTTTGGGAGGATAGATGGGTGAAGGAGAGTTGAGACTTGATGCTGCATCGCACTAATCTGACTCAGACAAAAAAGGAATTGAGAATGGAGTCTAAGGTTCCGTTCGTTTCGCGAAAAATGTGACGATTCTGAAAAATATTTTCCAACAAGCCATTTTCTAAGAAAATGACATAATTTTTCGGTATTCAGCTAAGACCCGAAAAATATTTTTCGCCATTTGGTATGCGATGGATTTTCCTCCATGCACTACTTTTAATATTTTTTATTTTTTGAATTGATTTTTAATTATCTTTTAATTATCTTTTTTTATTTTTTTTATTTTTTCTTTCTTTTTTTGGGCAAAAGAATACTACAAGTGCCATAACTTGTGTACGGCGCTCACTTTGGTGCCATAAGTTTTTTTTGGATCACTTTAGTGCTAAAATTTTTGAAAAACGATCACTTAAGTGCTAAAATTTTTGAAAAACGATCACTTAAGTGCCAACTCCGGTGCCGTACACAATTTTTCGCCGGAAATCCGACGTGGCATTTTTTTTATTAATTTCTGAAGCTGACGTGGCTCGCCGGAGACTCGCCGGAGATTGGCACTTAAGTGATCGTTTTTCAAAAAATTTAGCATTTAAATGATCGTTTTTAAAAAATTTTAGCACTTAAGTGATCGTTTTTCAAAAATTTTAGCACTGAAGTGATCCAAAAAAACTTATGACACTTAAGTGATCGTTTTTCCTCCGACTTAGCACCAAAGTGATCCGAAAAAAAGTTATGGCACCAAAGTGATCTCCGTACACAAGTCATGGCACTTATAGTGTCCTTTTGCCCTTTTTTTTGTACCTTCTTCTCCGGCCGATCGCTGGCCACGGCGAAGGCCAGCGACCGGCTATAGGCGAGCTAGAGCCTTGCCAGAGGGGGGCGGGCCGCCTCGCTAGTCGCGGCGAGCTCCCCACATCTGATGAGGCTCGAGGCCTCGCAAGCGGCGAGCTCGCCGATCTCTGGCTAGGCGAGAGCCCCACCGCCCTCTGGCGAGGCTCGAGCTCGCTTGTGGCTAGGCCCACAACCAGTCGGAAAATAAGGTAAAAAAAGAGAAAGAAAAGAAAAATAGAAAATAAAAAAGATAATTAAAAATTATAATAAATAAATAAATAAAGTAATTAAAATGAATGGTGGAAGAAGATCCGGGGAAAATGATATCCTCTTTTCAGAAAGTGAAAAACATTATCCTCACTTTTGAATGTTTTTTTTTCATTGAGAAAAAATGTTTTCCTTGAGTAGTTTATTTTCCGAAAACCGAACACCGAAAAATCCGGAAAAAATTATCCTGAAAGTTATTTTTTGCGAAACGAACGGAGCATAATTGATGCAAACACTCGGACTTGGAACTTAACCTCTACTAAAGACACCATAAGGCAAGTGGAGCAGTCAGTGGTGTTGAGAAGTCACGTAAGGTGGAGAAGTTCTGATGACCAAATGATTCGGCCCTGGAACAGGAGGCGTTGTTTTTCAGCAAAGTCAGCCTACCATTTTACCACGCAGAAAAGAAAGAAACATCTACTAAAGCCAAGACCCTCAAGCTCTCATACAACTGACGGTAAAGTTTGGAAGTTAGTATGAAGTGTTTGACTGTCCTCCCAAGATTAAACACTTCCTCTAGCAACTTTGCTCAAATGCGGTGCCTGCTGCTGCCAGTTTATCCAAAAGAAAAAATAAAGGTTTCTCCTGCTTCTGTGTTCTGTTTTGAGATTGAATGTGTTGAGCATTTGACACTTAATTGTGAATGGCGCCGATGCATATGGTTTTTTTGCTTGGGGTTGGAATAAGGAGAAGGTTTCCACCTTGGCTCAATGGCTTATAGACTTAATCACTGCAAAGTCTTTAATCAAAGGGGAACAAAAAGATCTGTTAACAAAAATAGCCATTGTTTGTCGGCATCTACAGGAAGGTCGAAATGAAGCCGTGTTCGGAGGGAAATATATTCAGCAGTTTGGGTCATAGCTCGAGATACTATTTATCATTGACCTGTCCGGCCGGCAACACAAAGTCTTCAAGTCTAATAAACTACTTAAGCATGATTTGTAATCTCTATTTGGCAGGTACTATTTGGCTAAAAAAAGAAAGGGCAAAAGGACACTATAAGTGCCATAACTTGTGTACGGAGATCACTTTGGTGCCATAACTTTTTTTCAGATCACTTTGGTGCCAAGTCGGAGGAAAAACGATCACTTAAGTGTCATAAGTTTTTTTTGGATCACTTCAGTGCTAAAATTTTTGAAAAACGATCACTTAAGTGCTAAATTTTTTTAAAAACGATCATTTAAGTGTTAAAATTTTTGAAAAACGATCACTTAAGTGCCAATCTCCGGCGAGCCCCTGGCGAGCCACGTCAGCTTCAGAAATTAATAAAAAAAATGCCACGTCGGATTTCCAGCGAAAAATTGTGCACGGCACCGGAATTGGCACTTAAGTGATCGTTTTTCAAAAATTTTAGCACTAAAGTGATCCAAAAAAAACTTATGGCACCAAAGTGAGCGCCGTACATAAGTTATGGCACTTGTAGTGTTCTTTTACTAAAAAGAAAGTGGACAACCGGTTATTTATGATTGACCAGTCCGGCCGGCAATACAAGTCTTCCAAGTCAAATCAGGTACTGCTGTGGTCATACCAAATGAACTAGTTAATTGAGTTGGTGACAATGATCATATTTATCTTAATGTATTGAATAGAGCACACGAGCGGATTATATAATGAACGGAATTGAAAATTTTAAATCATGTATTAGTGGGAAGGCATCTTGGTCAAGTGTGATGGCCATGATCCACGACCACGAGGGATAAGCAAATTATATAACGACAACGCAATTTCAATACTTGTCCATCTTCACCTCGCCAACCCAGCAAAACCAAAACCCAAGAAGAGTGCTGAACAATTTAATCATCATGAAACGAACACCATTTGATCTCTTGGTGGTTTTCCTTGCAATAATTCCGCTCCACTTTGCTTCCTCCGATACATTGCCTTCAACAAGGCCAACGAAGTGCCATGAGCAGGAGAGGTCTGCCTTGTTAGAATTCAAGCAATCTCTCTTCGATGCGGAAATTTGCCCATTTTTGGGCGACCCGTCGAAGCTAGAATCGTGGAAGCTGGAAGACGAGGATTGCTGCATCTGGGAAGGTGTGGAGTGTGATGAAGGGACAGGCTACGTGACTGGCCTCGACCTTAGCCAAAGTTGTCTCTCCGGTCCTATCAACTCAAACGCCAGTCTCTTCCGTCTCAGTCACTTGCAAAGCCTCAACCTTGCCTGGAACGACTTCAATTACTCTCAAATACCATCTGCGATAGGTGATTTTGTGGAGTTGACGAGCCTGAACCTCTCTTTCTCCAGCTTCGGAGGTCAAATCCCGTCACAAGTCCTAAAGTTGACTAACTTGTCCTCCCTTGATCTCTCTGGGAAAGGACTGGAGCTGAGGAATCCTAGCATGGAGACTGTGGTTCAAAGGTTGACCAAATTGGAACACCTTGATCTTAGCTTGTTGGAAGTGTCGGCTCCTTTTCCCGATGCTGTGGCAAATTTATCTTCCTTGACATCACTTGTACTCCCATACTGCAACTTGCAAGGGACGTTCCCAACAACCATCTTCGAGCTGCCGAGGCTACAACTTCTTGATTTGAGTTACAATCCAGAGCTGTCAGGTCATTTACCAGTGTTTCACTTGCACAGTCCCATTAAGTCGTTGTTTCTTAGGGGGACCAATTTTTCAGGTATGCTACCACCTTCGCTTGGAAGCTTGGCTTTCCTCAGCGAGTTTGATATCAGTAACTCCAATTTATCTGGGAACATTCCATCTTCAATAGGTAACCTGACTCAACTTACCATCTTAAATTTCAGAAATAACAAACTCTTAGGTGAAATCCCATATTCCATTGGGAAGCTCGTCCAACTCTCCTATTTGGATCTTAGCATGAATCAACTCTCTGAGAAAATTCCTACTTCCTTGATCAACCTCACCAACCTCACTTTCTTAAACTTCCATCACAATCAATTAACCGGTCAAATTCCAGCTGAGATCATTGGCCTCACCCGATTAACTTATCTCGACCTATCCTTTAACAGATTAACTGGCCAGCCAATTCCCGAAGATATCTCTAACCTCGAGAATCTTACTACCCTCGACTTGCAATCAAACAACCTGAATGGAACTTTGCGGCTAGATGTGGTACTCAAACTTCAACATTTAACGGTGTTGTCACTCTCATTCAATGAATTCTCATCAATTGTTGAACCCGACCTGAATGCTAGCCTTTCAAACCTGTCCGCTCTTGGCTTGGCTTCTAGCAACTTAAGTGAGCTCCCCATCTTCCTATCATACCAAAGTGGGTTGGAATGGTTGGACCTATCCCAAAATAGCATTTATGGGCCGACACCTCTGTGGTTCTTAAACGTGAGTATGGCACAATTGGGGTTTTTGAATCTTTCCAGAAACTTAATTACTAGCTTCACAGCTATTAAATGGCCAAATCTTATGACATTGGACCTCAGGTGCAATTATATACAAGGATTACTTCCGATTCCCCCGAAGGCCATTGAAGTTTACCTTGTCTCGAATAACAAGCTATCCGGAGAAATATCACCGGAGATGTGCCAGCTAAGCTCTATTGGCATAATTGATTGGTCCGTGAACAAGTTGACTGGTGTTATTCCGCCATGTCTGAGCAATTTGAGCGAGAACCTTTACATCTTGCGTTTGCATGGGAATGATTTATATGGAAGATTTCCTCAATTGCAGAATAACGAATGTGCGTTAAATATGATAGATGTTAGTGATAACCAACTACATGGGTCACTACCAAGGGGATTAGCTAATTGTAGTGGTCTCGAGTTTCTCGACTTCGGAAATAATCAGATCATTGACACCTTTCCTTCGTGGATGGGCTCGCTTTCTGATTTGAAGGTGCTCATTTTGCGCTCCAATAGATTTTATGGAGCCATAGGGGAACCTGAAGATGGTGACCAGTTTCTTAAACTACGAATTGTTGATCTATCCATGAACAAGTTCTCGAGTAGACTTCCATCTGAATACTTTGATATATGGAGTGCCATGAAAGTCCACGATGCAGATGATGCAAACTACTATGGGAATAATCTGCCCATTTTCCTCCCATCTCCCGTGAACGATGGAAAGTACGACTATTCAATGACAATAATGAACAAAGGCATTGTCATGGAGTACGAAAAGATACTGGGATACCTCAACGTGATTGATCTTTCGAGCAACAACTTTACTGGGGGAATCCCGAATTCTGTTGGAAGTTTAACTGAACTTCAACTGCTCAATCTCTCCAACAATGCTCTTAGAGGCCCCATCCCTTTGTCCCTGGCGAATTTGACCGGACTAGAATCTCTTGACCTTTCAAGCAATAAGCTCTCGGGGATGATCCCTCCAGAACTCACGCAACTCATTTTCCTTGCTTTCTTCAATGTGTCGGACAACCATCTTTCCGGGCCCATACCTCATGCGAACCAGTTCTCTACGTTCGAGAATGACTCTTATGGAGGGAACTTAGGACTGTGCGGAGTTCCACTGACAAAGAAATGCGGAAATCCTGTTGAAGCGCCCCTGGCACCACCATCTGGTGCATTCGCCGAAGAGGACTCAGGGACATGGTTCGAAGAACTTGACTGGAAAATCGTCTTGATGGGTTTTGGAAGCGGGCTGGTCATCGGCATGGTTATGGGGCTGACCATGACTTCCAGAATTGAGCGTTGGTTCCTGAGGTTCTATAGACGAAGGCAACAAAGACGGATACGCCAAATAAGGTTTGCGTGATTTACAATCTGTTGTGAAAGTTTAATGACTGGATTGCTGATTGCTAGGTGCACATAGTGGCATACCTTTTCGATGTGTTCTGCGCTATGCGATAGCATCCAAATATCTACCGTCTAGATATAAGATTTCGAATAAAGTGTCTCCAGTTTCATCAAGCAAACAATAAATGTGCGATCGTTTCCTTGAAATTGACTCAATGTACTCTTTTGATAGCTGTGAATACAATTTCTCGTGTTGGCCAAAAACAGTTCTCAGCTTAATTAAATTCTGATAAACTATTATGCAGAAGTTTCCTTTACCCTCATTTCTCCAATCTTGATCAAACAAGGTAATGAGTCATGGCCTCCATGTTTTGGAGGAATTGGCATAACCTGGCCCTGTTTGTTATAAATTAATTTTAGTTTTCCGTTTAAATTTAAATCTGAGGTGCACACCACAATTGGGTTTGGTGATCTGGATCAAAGAACTAGACTGGAAAATTGTCTGATGGGTCACGGAATCGGACTGGTCATCGGAGTGGTTATGGGACGCAACACAACCACGAGAGTTCAACATTGGTTCGTGAAGAAGATTTTGGGCAAAGGCAGAGAACCCAGAGGCATACAAAGAAGAAGGTTTGTATGAATTTACATCATGTTGTGAAGGTTAGTATTACACCTCGATAACTCAAAATGTTGCAATAGCATGGCATTCCACTTTAATCTTTTGGCTGGTGATGAAGTTTGTTAGAAGGCTTTCATCTCAGTATTAATCTAGCTAAATGGCCCCAAACATATGTCTAGTAACTCTTTTGAGTTGGTCCCAAAGCTATCCGAAATCCCATCCGTACTTTTGTTTGAGAGCAAAATGAATCTACTTTTTCAATAATATTAGCATGATGTGAACCACTTTCATATCCCATAGGCTACAGATGTGTTAAGACTTGTGATAGGAAATAGGACATAGATCGAGTCGAACTCCTGATAGCTTAAAGTCTTAGAAGTATCACCCAGTTGTTGACATGAGATAGGCAGGAGCATTCAAAGTCATTAGAGAGTAAGAATTGTTTCAAGTCATAATTACAAGTATCAACCTGTTTGATATGTATTTTACTTCTTTTATTTGTACAGAGGTCTTGAAACATGCCTTGCCCCATATATGACTAATGTAGACTCCAGGATCGTTGGTTTCATGTTCCGAAGCTGCCAGTATTTTTCTTTTTTCAGGCGATTCTAGTAATCTTCAAGAGACATTTATTCCACTAGGAGCATAATACACCACAGATCGTAAATGAACTTCCACCGGGACACACCACAATGGGAAAGTATAAGATCTTTGGGTTGCACTGGAAAATAGTGCCACTGGCAGGACGAAGAGTATACACATAAACTAGTACAAAGCGACACTTTCTTCCTTTGACAGAAGAAAGATATGCACTCTTATCTTATTTGAACTTCAAATTGAAAGTAACAGTTATAGAGGTCGGGATCTGTTTCATTCGACATATTTGGCTGAAGGCTCCACACTATCAGCATACTATCTCGACCACGGCTATTCCCTCATCACAAGCAACTGCAACCCTGCAGAGCAAAAGCCACCAAAAAGTGAGACCACAAATGTAGAAGGTTTTATCTTTGTAGTGAAACCACAGAGCCTACATGAATGCCTTTATAGTGGCAATGGAAAACCTTGGACCATCATAATAGCTTATTATAATCAAAGCATGAATATAACGAGGAAATGAAGCATTTAGAACAGGAATGAACGTTACCGCCGCGATCCTTTCTGATATGCAATATCCCAAATCCTTCCATGACCGAATTTCAGTACGTGCATAAGCCTGTACGTGACATAATGTAGGAGTCATTCACAAAACAACCAAGAATCCAGGGACATAAACAGTCATATCCAGCGGTAACTTTTGGAAAATCTGGAAAAGACACAGGTGGTATTTCCATTCGACTGCTGTAATTGAAGCTGCATTCTAGAGCATGCTATAACTGTAAAAAACTCCCGCAATGCATACCTGAAGCCATTGGCATCCCATATGCGAAGAGTCTCATCCTCTGAACCAGTAATTACTATAGGCAGCTCAGGATGCACACATACAATGGTAACATTGTGCTCATGTCCCTCGAGTGTTTGTACACAGCTTCTGCCTTTATCGTCCCAAACCTGTACTTGTTATTGAACAAATCATATATCAAATGGTCTCTTTCTAATAATGTACCGTTATGTTAAATTAAGAACAATAAAGTTAGCAAACCTTAGCAGTGTAATCATCAGAACCACTCAGTAAATATAGCTTATCATCCCTAGAGAAGTAATCAACAAAGTTCAGCCCCTTCTCATGCGCATCCAAAGTAAACTTGGGCGCAGAGGAGTGAACATTCCAAATCTGCAACAAATGGGAATCGTATCAAGAGTATAAATAGCGTATCTGGAAATTGAAATATGTATTTTACAAAGGGCGAGACCTACAAAATGAGTACCTTTATAGTTCCATCAAGTGATGCACTTGCAAAAGCATTAGGATCTTGAGGATCAAACGCTACACGCATCACATAATGTGAATGTCCTTCAAATGTCTGAGTACACATCCAGTCCTTCTCCCAATCCCAGAGCTTTATAACTGCGTCATCCGATGCTGATAGCACATAGGGAAGTGTAGGGTGGACATCCACACATCTGATATAATCTTTATGCGCTTGGAATTCTTTGATCTTCTCCATCGTGCTATAGTCATAGACACGAATAATCGCATCATCCGATCCAACAATTACCCAGCCCTTGCTCGGGATAAATTTGGCTGACCTCACTGCAAATATGATCAGCGTTATAGATTAGGATGTCCTATCAACATCATGGCATGCTCAATTATCTCTTAACCTAGCTATGGTAGGCTCTTTAAATATTGTTGTAGCTCACCATATGTATTCCATGCCCCCTTATCCATATCTAGCTACTGACTATGACACAATTTTCTGGTTTGGCATCATGAATTGTCAAAGAAATTGGAGTGCGTATCAATTTAATCTGGTGTGTTCTGATATTTACCTGGTGACTCGGCCACCTTGAATGTTTTCTCAGTAATCTGAAATACCACCAAACAATGTTGATGTCAATTAGTAACATTAGATCAAGATAATTACTTCTTGTCAAGTAAACATTCAGTAACGATGGATACATTGGAGATTTCTTTGTGATGTGAACTGCGAAAGCAGAGAAGGCTCTTATTTACCTGGGATTGGTAGTTCCAAATGTAAACAGTTCCTGAATGCAAGCTTACAAGAATCCTGCACAACAACAAGCATCGTTCTGGTAAGACACTCATAAGTAACATCCTTAAGCGTGGATTTGTAAACATAGACGTATTGTTAAGCTTCCTTTGGTACCATACCAGAGCAATGAAAGATATCAACAAAAGAAGCATAAGCAATTCTCGTTACCATGGTTCTGTCGGATGGAACTCGACAGATTTAGCTCGCTCCGACCCTTGAACAATCTCATTCTGGTGCAAGAGTGACATTAATTAGTTTCTCAGACAGTGAAGTATGCATACTTAATATCGATGGATACGCTCACGTAATATAATCAAGTTAAACAAATCTGAAAATGCAGAAAGGGAAATGAAAAGTAGAAGAACTGAGGAACAGGACTTGTGTACCTCAAACTTGAACGCGGTAGACTGATACATGCCAAATGACAGAAGCGAAATCAGTACAATGAAAACTCCTGGTGCAAATATAGTGTAAAACGAAATTTCGTCGTGTTTCCATAGAAGTTTCGTTTCTTAGTAAATTGAGAGGAAAAAAAACAACCATAGATAACTCACCATTTTCTTGTGTAATGATCAAATTGGATATATTGGTAGAAGTTGCTGCAATCTTGGACGTAAATTACTGTGTGTTCGGACATCTTTATATGCAAGAGTTGCTTGTCGATGAAGGATGGTCATGCAATTTTACTCTCTCTCTCTCTCTCTCTCTCTCTCTCTCTCTCTCTCTCTCTCTCTCTCTCTCTCTCTATCTAGCCAAGAAAATTCTTCTGCATGTTGTCGTCATCCCGTGCCTTCGCAGCCGTCCAGTCAGCTCACGTGTCGAAATAGACGGTGTGATCATAGTCCAATGATTGTTAAACAAAGGGAATTACGTGAACGCGTTTCACTCTATTCTACTCTCTCCCTTGCCAAGAAAACTCCTCTCTCCTATGCTGTCATCCGCCACTCCTCAACCGTCCCCTCCGCCGTCGTGTTACAATACACGGTGGAGATCAAAGTCCAAAGGGTGTTCGGTCAAAATGAATTACGTCAACGTAGTCTATCATTAAAAAGATTCAGAGGGCGGCCTCTAACTGGTCAAAGTCAAATTTGGAGAGTTAAATTCTCATTGAGGATCAATATCATCAGCAGCACCATTGATTACATGAATTTCACCGTGAGGTCCGCTCAATTAACGGTCCAGATGGATTTGATCGGCGTAATCTATAGAGTATCCGGTAATTATCTTTCTATATTTCCCATATCATCACGTGTTCAAATGAGGAGATTAAAGCTCACATTTTGTAAGTTTAAGATTCAAATTAGGCCAAAACGTTTCCCATACATGGGCCAAGCGAGAATAGATCGAGTCATCCTTTGATACTAATTGACGACTGAATCATCTACAAATACACAATGCATAATCATATGAATGATAAGTTATGTTAAATTGAGTATCCAAAGAACTTCTGTAAAAATTTAACTGTCGAGGAACAAATTGAAAATGCAAAAAATTTCGTGTGGATACCCTTGTAGAAATTGCCAAAAGGGATATTAGTCCAATAATTTCCCAACAACATGCTGGCTTAGGAGGAAGGAATTGGCCGAAGCATGGTGCATCTTGACAACAGATCCAAGAGATCTTGGATTCAAGAGAAGCCACAGGGGCTTAGCTCTATTAAAGATCGAAAAGGAGCGTCAAGTTTCACATTTTGATCCTTCACGAGTTTATAGGCCCTCTTGAGCCCAAACCTACACATATGGGACTCTGTTGGGAAAAATTATCAACAAAGTCCTAAACCTATTGCAATTGTGCAAACTCAGTCCTAAATCTTTTTTTTTTTGCCA